TATACTGCATCATTACACAAACAGACTAACGTCACCCTGAAGAGGACAGTTTTCCGTTGTTTATCATGATGGGCACAGTCTCTGAACTTTTGATCACCCCTTGTATGTTTAGATAGCACGAATAGTGTACCTTGTAGTTTACATTTAGAAAAGCGAGTGCAGCGCACCTGTGCATATAACAGACTGTCATCGGACTCCTCCTCTTTAGTAACTCCATCATCCGATCCTTCATCTCTGGATGTGAAATAGTCCATTATAACTTATTTTAGGGCACTGACATCACCAAGATTGAGCAGACTGAGACGAGCAAGATCGTCTAAGTGAGCAGCTTCAGACTGCGTTGTTTTCTTGCGCTCCGCCATCTCACGATATTAAAAAATAAATAAATGTAAAAAACTTTGCGTGCCGTAGTTTACACAGGACTGGCGGGAAATGTGCATTGATACACCTTTATTATATATGTTGCGTGGTTTATTTTGATAGGTTAACTGGTGTTAAGAGAAAGCACCTCCGCAGCGTGTTCTTAACATGAGAGAAAGACACCGTATTTTCTGCTTGCTGCAATAAATCGCTATTTTTCTGTAACCCAAACATTTAAATTCTGTCATCAATTACCTTCATGTCGTTTCAAACCTGTATGACTTTCTTCTTTTGCACAACATAAAAGAAGGTATTTTGAAGACTTTTGGTTATCAATGACTTTCATTATATGAACAAAAAATACTGAGATGTTTCTCAAATTATCTTCTTTTATGTTCCATAGTTTATGTTAGGCCGTTGTAGTCTAAACGTTTATGTGTAATACATTTTATGTTGAATCAAATAAAATATTTGTTTCTTTCTTTCTCATTTAACACAAAAATAGATTTAAATAATCTTTTGAGGGTATTTTCACAGTCAAACTTATTTTGCAATTAATTAGATTAATTAATCGACATCATTAATTCAAAAAACTTTGCGTGCCGTAGTTTACACAGGACTGGCGGGAAATGTGCATTGATACACCTTTATTATATATGTTGCGTGGTTTATTTTGATAGGTTAACTGGTGTTAAGAGAAAGCACCTCCGCAGCGTGTTCTTAACATGAGAGAAAGACACCGTATTTTCTGCTTGCTGCAATAAATCGCTATTTTTCTGCACTAAACAAGTGAATTTTGCCAAGATATTTTCAGAGATGATAGACAAGATGTTATAGAATAATAATTGAATGAAACCCTAATTTTGACAAAAAAATTGACATTTGACCTATTTTTCGAATTTCCTGAAAACGTCCGACGGGTTTTCCCAGATCGTATCACATATTTTTAAGGTCTAAAGAAAATATATTATTTATTAAAAGTAAAATAAATAAATAAAATGAACATAATCCAATACATTTTTTTATTTTTATTTAGATTTTATTTGGATGTCTATATTTATAATTATTCCCTTATATTAGAGCCAGACCGATATGGGTTTTTTGGGGTCGATACCGATACCGATATTAGGGTATTATTATATCGATAATCAACTTTAATTCAATTCAATTCCATTCAACTTTATTCCGTTGAAGTCTATTTCACTCCGGAACATTCATTCACGGATTAGCGCTACGGTCTTCGCACACAGACGAAACTTACTAGAGAAGTGTGACATAATATACCTCTGTAAATAAATATAAATTCACGTCTCGCGCACTTTAATGCCCTTTGAATGTAACGTGTACGTTCCCTTGGAACTGGAATCATGGCGGAACATCATGTGAAGCCCACTTCGCAGGACACTTACGTTCGAATAAGACAACGCTTGAATGCTGCCTGAACTAGAAACCTCCTTACTGAAGGGAAAGTGTTGACTGGTGTCACTATCTCGCGAACGCGCCGGCGGATCTCCACCAAATTTGGGGGACCCCTTCAGCTCGAGGAGCCCGCTTGAGGAGCCCTCTCGAACACCACCCTCCGCGTGTCAGTAGCTCCCCGAGATCGCCAGATCGGTCGGCGCCGGACCGCGAATTTAACCACCCTTAACTCCCGAACCCCGGGGGCTATCGACGCAGGGGTGGTCTCATTCGAAAACGGGCCTCTAGACGTACATTCGATTCGTGTTCAAGAGGGTTCATCGAGCTGAAGGGATCCCCCGAATTTGGTGCAGATTCGCCGTGCCTTTACGGAGATATGGCCGTTCAAATTTTCAATGGTTTTCCATAGCTTGGAACTGGAATCATGGCGGAACATCATGTGAAGCCCACTTCGCAGGACACTTACGTTCGAATAAGACAACGCTTGAATGCTGCCTGAACTAGAAACCTCCTTACTGAAGGGAAAGTGTTGACTGGTGTCACACTATCTCGCGAACGCGCCGGCGGATCTCCACCAAATTTGGGGGACCCCTTCAGCTCGAGGAGCCCGCTTGAGGAGCCCTCTCGAACACCACCCTCCGCGTGTCAGTAGCTCCCCGAGATCGCCAGATCGGTCGGCGCCGGACCGCGAATTTAACCACCCTTAACTCCCGAACCCCGGGGGCTATCGACGCAGGGGTGGTCTCATTCGAAAACGGGCCTCTAGACGTACATTCGATTCGTGTTCAAGAGGGTTCATCGAGCTGAAGGGATCCCCCGAATTTGGTGCAGATTCGCCGTGCCTTTACGGAGATATGGCCGTTCAAATTTTCAATGGTTTTCCATAGACTTAAGCTTTAAAGCGTTTCATCCAGGTCACCAGTAGCAAACAACGGAGCGCGCTCTGCTGGACAAACTAGGTAATTACACCATTTCAAGCATTTTATCTGCGTTATATGTTCTGTAAAAAAAATGTCATAATGGCGGCATATTCGCCGATACCGATATATTGGCGACAGGCTCATATCGGCCGATAATATCGGCTAAAAGATATAGCGGTCGGGCTCTACCTTATATATGAATTCATTTTAAAGCACTACACACATCTGAACCAAAAGCGTATGGATTTTCATATGGTAATGTGGAAATGGACTAAAGTCATACCTTATTTTTGAAGTACTGCCTAGCATAGCTCTTCACCTGCAGAACTGTCCTAGTGCCGATTAGTTTGGCGATCTTTGTCCACCTGCGGCCAAACTGAGCCTAGAAACCATAAAAAACAAAACAAAATACAATTTAATTCCTTATATGAGAGAGCACTGTTTTCTCTGTGTTCAAAAAACATACCAGTCCTTTCTCAAAGAGATCTTTCTCCTCTTCAACCCAACGAGTTTGTGCTCCAGAACTCTTCACCAATGTCCTACAAAGACATTCTGAATGAATTCCTATACTTACACACACACATATATATATATACAGTGGGTACGGAAAGTATTCAGACCCCCTTAAAATTTTCACTCTTAACAATATTGCAGCCATTTGCTAAAATCATTCAAGTTAAGTTTTTTTCCTCATTAATGTACACACAGCACCCCATATTGACAGAAAAACCCAGAATTGTTGACATTTTTGCAGATTTATTAAAAAAGAAAAACTGAAATATCACATGGTCCTAAGTATTCAGACCCTTTGCTGTGACACTCATATATTTAACTCAGGTGCTGTCCATTTCTTCTGATCATCCTTGAGATGGTTCTACACCTTCATTTGAATCCAGCTGTGTTTGATTATACTGATTGGACTTGATTAGGAAAGCCACACACCTGTCTATATAAGACCTTACAGCTCACAGTGCATGTCAGAGCAAATGAGAATCATGAGGTCAAAGGAACTGCCTGAAGAGCTCAGAGACAGAATTCTGGCAAGGCACAGGTCTGGGCAAGGGTACAAAAAAATTTCTGCTGCACTTAAGGTTCCTAAGAGCACAGTGGCCTCCATAATCCTTAAATGGAAGACGTTTGGGACGACCAGAACCCTTCCTAGAGCTGGCCGTCCGGCCAAACTGAGCTATCGGGGGAGAAGAGCACCCACTGTATATATATATATATATATATATATATATATATATATATACACACACACACACACATTGAAAAGTTTGGTGTCTGTAATATATATATATATTTTTTTCTTATGTTCACCAAGGCTATTTGATAAAAAACACTGCAAACCAGATATATTGTGTAATATTATTAGAATTTAAAATAATATTTTTCGATTTAAATGTATATTAATTTGTAATTTATTCCTGTGACAGCAACACTGAATTTTCAAAAAGAAAACCTCTGTAGCAATGTTACATGATTGTAAAGCACTTTGAGTGTACAACAATATACAATAAAGCGCTATATAAATGCATCATTCATTCATTCATTCATTCAAGTCTTGATCACTTCAAGTCTATCATTTTTGTGTGTTCTTGCTGGATTGTTAGTATTGAAAAAAAAACTTACATACACCAAACTTTTGAAAGGTTGTGTAGGAGTTTACATATTCATGAACACAAAGGGATAAAAGAAGGAAGCTCACTTTTTTACTTTAGTCTTCTCATTGGTCCATGCTACATTTGGTGCTTTTTTACTGCCAAAATAATACCTTTTCTTTTAAGAAAAACAATGCTTTTAATGAATGATCACATCCATTGTGCATTATGGGATGTGAAAACCAAACATGAACAAAATGAGAATTAATCAGTGTGACGTGAGAAGAGTGAAGGATACTGTTCCTCCAGCAGCATGCTCTCAATGGCCTGTCTGTTCTCATCGCTGATGGAGCTGTCCAGCGTCCACGGCTGAACACACACAATAACAACAACACATCATATCCATTTTCAGAGTATCTTTATGTATAGTGACAGTTATCATTTTAGGGTGAGCTAACCCTTAAAATCCATTGTACTTTACCAGTATACTGCTGTTTGTCTTCCAAGCAGACTGTAAATATTGATCCTGGAGAATCTCAGCACTGTTCAGGTCCCTTTTAAGAGAGCAGACAAATAATAAAGACATTAATTATATATAAAAGTGTTTACAGCAATTAATTTACAAAAGACAACTATGGAGTACTTGATTACAGAGGATTTAAAAGCACACATTTTTGTTTGATTCTTTACAAAACGTGTGTTATTCTACATGTGGGACTGCTGTTCTTGGATGCACTTCCGAAAATGTAACATATCTACATTTGTAATTCCTGTAGTGATTTTTTCAGTTTATTTTACAGTGTCCCTGTTACAAGTGTAACTGTACATTTAAGTACTGAGTAATATTATATAAGAGGGGCTGAATATATTCTCTACCCACTGTATATATATATATATATATATATATATATATATATATATATACACACACACACACATTGAAAAGTTTGGTGTCTGTAATATATATATATATATATTTTTCTTATGTTCACCAAGGCTATTTGATAAAAAACACTGCAAACCAGATATATTGTGTAATATTATTAGAATTTAAAATAATATTTTTCGATTTAAATGTATATTAATTTGTAATTTATTCCTGTGACAGCAACACTGAATTTTCAAAAAGAAAACCTCTGTAGCAATGTTACATGATTGTAAAGCACTTTGAGTGTACAACAATATACAATAAAGCGCTATATAAATGCATCATTCATTCATTCATTCATTCAAGTCTTGATCACTTCAAGTCTATCATTTTTGTGTGTTCTTGCTGGATTGTTAGTATTGAAAAAAAAACTTACATACACCAAACTTTTGAAAGGTTGTGTAGGAGTTTACATATTCATGAACACAAAGGGATAAAAGAAGGAAGCTCACTTTTTTACTTTAGTCTTCTCATTGGTCCATGCTACATTTGGTGCTTTTTTACTGCCAAAATAATACCTTTTCTTTTAAGAAAAACAATGCTTTTAATGAATGATCACATCCATTGTGCATTATGGGATGTGAAAACCAAACATGAACAAAATGAGAATTAATCAGTGTGACGTGAGAAGAGTGAAGGATACTGTTCCTCCAGCAGCATGCTCTCAATGGCCTGTCTGTTCTCATCGCTGATGGAGCTGTCCAGCGTCCACGGCTGAACACACACAATAACAACAACACATCATATCCATTTTCAGAGTATCTTTATGTATAGTGACAGTTATCATTTTAGGGTGAGCTAACCCTTAAAATCCATTGTACTTTACCAGTATACTGCTGTTTGTCTTCCAAGCAGACTGTAAATATTGATCCTGGAGAATCTCAGCACTGTTCAGGTCCCTTTTAAGAGAGCAGACAAATAATAAAGACATTAATTATATATAAAAGTGTTTACAGCAATTAATTTACAAAAGACAACTATGGAGTACTTGATTACAGAGGATTTAAAAGCACACATTTTTGTTTGATTCTTTACAAAACGTGTGTTATTCTACATGTGGGACTGCTGTTCTTGGATGCACTTCCGAAAATGTAACATATCTACATTTGTAATTCCTGTAGTGATTTTTTCAGTTTATTTTACAGTGTCCCTGTTACAAGTGTAACTGTACATTTAAGTACTGAGTAATATTAATGAACAGCATGTACTTAATAGGGCTTTGATTTAGAGTTAGTTGCAAGCAGCTATGCATTATTTACTCTATGTAAACAAACAGTCCGTTTCCAGTAACCATGCGAAAATTACTGGATTTATATAGTCAACACAATAGTAAAAAGGGAATATAACGGTGCACATATACGGTTAGTTTACATTATTTTCTTTAATAATCGTCAGCATTTTTTATGTTGTACTGAAGCCGGAACATTTCTGTAAAGAGGGGTTGTAAAGGACATTGATGTGAGTGATGTGCCCTTACAGTACTGCTGCATAGATCGTACTAACGTTATATAATGATTCGATAACTATTCAATAGTGTGTACTATCTTAGTAGCAAGTAATTGAAGCTCCACAGTTATAACAAACTCGTTTCCTAGCTGATGTTAAAATAGTGTAACTGTGTTCATATAACTAGAGAAGTTCATATTAATCCTGTCAGTCGTTTTTCTATTGCTTCTGTCTCACTTCTGCTCATCCACGAACTCAAATGTATCAAAGCAGAAGTACATAATATCCTCCAGACAGCGGGAAATGAGAGAATAATCTCCTACCCGACTCTTTCATCACATTCATCGCCCTCGATGTCAACAACATCCAACTCGTCTGCCATGTTTGCGGCGGATGTGTGTGTGTGTGTGTGTGTGTGTGTGAGAGAGAGCGAGAGAGAGAGAGAGAGAGCGGGAGGAGTACGTTTGTCACAGCGCCACTTACTGGCAGGAGTACGCTACTGCTGCGTGTTTTGGAGATCTAGACTAAAATACACTGCTATGTGAGATCACAATATAACACAAATTGATATTTATTTTTTTAATCTGTAATTTAGTCCACAGAAAAAAGTGGGCACTGCGCACTTGTGCTTAAAAATAAGCACCGATTTATATTAGGAAGCATCCTACGTGAGGATGTGCCCTTCCTAGTTCAGTCAAGCCTTTTCTCAGCATTAAACGCTAGAACGACTTTCTACTAATGCAGTACAGGTCCGTCCGTTTTTACCTTCATCAATCGCTTACCTGTTCCATTTCAAGTCTCCACTGATCTCCTATACTCACTTCTGTGTCTCCAGGGATCTCTAATACTCTCCTTCCTCAAGTCTCCAGCGATGTCCTATACTCACCTCTGGGTCTCCTGCGATGTCCAATACTCACCTTGGTGGGGAGTCTCGTACCGGCAGGGATTGTAGGTGAGGGGAGTGTATGTGTAGCGCTCTCTCCCACCTTCAATACCACGACTGAGGTGCCCTTGAGCTATACTCACCTCTGGGTCTCCAGCGATGTCCTATACTCACCTCTGGGTCTCCTGCGATGTCCAATACTCACCTTGGTGGGGAGTCTCGTACCGGCAGGGATTGTAGGTGAGGGGAGTGTATGTGTAGCGCTCTCTCCCACCTTCAATACCACGACTGAGGTGCATTAGGAAGCATCCTACGTGAGGATGTGCCCTTCCTAGTTCAGTCAAGCCTTTTCTCAGCATTAAACGCTAGAACGACTTTCTACTAATGCAGTACAGGTCCGTCCGTTTTTACCTTCATCAATCGCTTACCTGTTCCATTTCAAGTCTCCACTGATCTCCTATACTCACTTCTGTGTCTCCAGGGATCTCTAATACTCTCCTTCCTCAAGTCTCCAGCGATGTCCTATACTCACCTCTGGGTCTCCAGCGATGTCCTATACTCACCTCTGGGTCTCCAGCGATGTCCTATACTCACCTCTGGGTCTCCAGCGATGTCCTATACTCACCTCTGGGTCTCCAGCGATGTCCTATACTCACCTCTGGGTCTCCAGCGATGTCCTATACTCACCTCTGGGTCTCCAGCGATGTCCTATACTCACCTCTGGGTCTCCAGCGATGTCCTATACTCACCTCTGGGTCTCCAGCGATGTCCTATACTCACCTCTGGGTCTCCAGCGATGTCCTATACTCACCTCTGAGTCTCCAGCAATCACTTATACTTATATAACACAAGAGGAAAGAACAGCCCAATATAAAGGGAGGAAAGTACATGAGGGCCAGGTGAGCACAACTAAAGAAACGAGAACAAGACAAGACAAGGGTTAAACAAGAGGGCGTGACCAAGGGAAGCAAGGAGGTGGGACCAAAGGAACACATAGCAGACACAAACAAAGATAAAGCAATGTGTTAAGACACAAGACAAACAAAGAAACATTAAACAAAGACAACACAGACAAAGCTGCCAAGCCAGAACCCTGACACATGTACTATTTACTACTACTACGATTAAGTTATTGATTATTATTTCAGTTTTATCTATTATTATTTTTCTTTATTAGTTCTTATTTGTCTTCTTTCATATCCGGCTGTATCAGGTGGCAGACCACTTTCTTTTCTCCCATTGGTAGTCACTGCATCACAGCTTATTTGCAAATATATTATTGTTGTTGTTATTTTTCATGCAGCACAGCACAGGAGGTGTTGGCCTCCTTCTAGCTCCACCAAGTTCAGCACAACACCTCCCAAACAGGTGTCAGCCTCCTGCGAGAAGCTGAATTGGACCCCAACCGTCACCCACTGAGCGAAGCTTCACTTGTTGATCTTCACAGTCAATGAGAGATATAAAGCAGGGATTCGCTATGGTAAGAGTGACTCAGCTGAGCAAGGGTGAGTGAGAGCGGCTGATTCATTCAGGAATGAAGTAAATCTTTATGAACGGGTAATTTAATTGGTTCACCCCACTCGTTCAAAATGCAGATTCATTCAGAAATTGTGTTTTTTGTGCTTGGAGGGAGACACACACACAACACTTATATAATATAATATATAATATTTGCTTGGCAAACTGAACAAAAACAGTAAAAAAAAAATTTATATATTGGGTTTAAAATACAAAACAATATTAACTTCTTATTTACTTAACTGCTGTATGAAATCACTCCTGAAATCACTTTTGCACTCGCGCTACTCGGGACCAAAACACTTGTGTGTTCTTTTTCTAACTTTACTCAGTGTATCACTATGGGAATCGCTTTGAGCGTGACCAACTGCGGAAGCTCCTATGACACCACGTCTGTCTTTGACCTCAGCCAAGATCATTCGCACTTTCTTCCCATGGGAGACTGCAGCAAGCTCTCTCAGCACATCCTGACTTTGCTGATTTCGCTAAACAGTTCAATAGACGGGCCGTCATTGGAATCCGTCACCGAACGTGAGGTCAGTTGTACAAACATGCGCTCCACAAACAAGGAGGATGAGAGTGGCGGTGGCTAACAAGCAAGACCCATATCTGTCCGGAGCGGCCACACAATCTTCGGCGACTGACCATCTGACACGAGCCAGTACGAGCTGGGCAGACATGATGGAAGCCGAATCCCCAGATATGCCTCCGTTATTTGAGGGCCTGCTCACGCAAGAGGAGGGGGAACCCGGGGACGAGGACACAGAGGGTGATGCTAACTCTGATATCCTCGATTTAGACATTTAGAAGAGGAGGGAGGGAGTTGTCTTCCTCCTCTTCTAAATGTCTAAATCGTTACGTTGAAAGTAACTTGCACGAGGTGTGCAAGCGAGCCGTGGCGAAATTGGGCCTAGCTTGGCCCGCAGCCAAAGACGCTGAAGGAGCAGAGAGGGATTCAACGGGGTGATTATGTCAGTGGCCGAGGGAGATTCGGCTCATGTCCTGATGGCTGAAATCGAATCTCTCTTAAACAAACGGGCGATCAGAGTGGTGCCCGAGGAAGAGAGCCTTCAGGGCTTTTATTCTCATTATTTTGTAATTCCAAAGAAAGGGGGCTAAGCCCTTCGCCCAATTCTGGACCTTTGTGTGTTAAACAAGCACCTACGAAACTATTCGTTCAGAATGTTAACACACAAAGCGCTTTGTCGATCGATTCGTCCGAATGGTTGGTTTGTGACAATTGATCTGTCAGACGGTTAATTTCACATAGACATTTACCCCTCTCACAGGAAATTCCTCAGATTTGCATACCGAGGCACAGCATACGAGTTTCAAACTATTCCATTCGGGCTAGCTTTAGCTCCGAGGGTTTTTACCAAGTGTGTGGAAGCTGCCCTGTTCTCGTTAAGGAACGAGGGAATAAGAATATTGTCCTACATAGACGACTATCTGATATGCTCGTCGTCGAGAGAGCAAGCAGTGAAAGATGCAGAGATGGTGTTAAATCATCTCAGCAGCTTGGGGTTCAGGATCAACATGATAAAGAGCCGCTTGGAGCCCTCACAACAGAATATTTGGAGCATAGTTTTCAAAAACTATGGTGGGACAATGTGATAAAATGATTGGTCGATGCCTTGTCATATCCAAATATAGTCATGTAGTGGTGGCTAATAAAGGTTGTAACTGATCTCGGGTTAGTTTTATAATTTAGTTTCAATTTTAAGTGAACTGATAGATGCTAGTTAATTGTTCTAATTGGCCTACTTACCATGGGTGAGATCACACAAATCAAACACTATATTATATAAGAGTACTCCTATTTAATGGTATTTAATTATTTGTATATTACATAAGTTACCCTTTCTAGAAAACATTAGAAAAGGTGTTATAACCACTGATCTCTAATAGAGAATATACTATATAGATCAGTGGTTATAACCTATGCTTTGACTGCGTTTATGTTGCATCTACTACACCACAGACTGTATAAAAACATGAACGTAGTGTCCGTGATGTCACCCGTAGGTTTCTGAAGAGCGTTTTTGAAGCCTAAAGTAGGCGGAGCCGGCCGTCGCCATCTTGGCAGTGCGTCACCGTGCGTCACTCCCGGATAATCGAAAATGGGTAAAGAGGCGGGAGCTGGTTGCTGAAACCACACCCACCTAGCTCGACAGTGGTGACAGCAGCAGCAATCCACCTGTCACTCAAGTGGCCACGCCCTTAATTATGCAGAATTTTAAGGCTTAATATAATTTAAACGGATGAGTTATAAAAAATATTCACCCCCCTCACAGTTGTCATGAAGGGCAAAATTAGCTATATAGACAAAAACCACTTTTTGTACCAGGCTGTAAAAAAAAATTTCTGCTGTAAAGTTGGGCTTTTTAACATTGGGAGTCTATGGGACTGACTCCCTTATGGAGCCAGCCTCTAGCGGCCAGTCGATGAATTTCAGTTTTAGTTACTTCCATGTTGGTTTCACGAGAGAACGGGAGGTTGCCGCTTGATCTACGGGTGTCTTCATATAATCTTGATATAGTCTCGCGTAGCCAGACCTTCAGACTAACGGCTGAAGGTCTGGAATCCAAGGCCTGCCCATGAGGCCATTTGACCAACATGTCAAACAACCAATCACAGTTTGATTCGTTCAGCGTCACGTTTCGGGGCGTGGAAATGTCGCCACAATAACAGACAGTGTAAAACTCTCTGACATATTTTAAAGGTTCTATACAGCGAACTTTAAATATTTCACATACTTTTGAGAACCCAGAATTTAGTTGATCCTGATAAGCGCTGGTCATCACAGTTGTAAACACGAAGGCTTTCTTCTTTCGTGAGGGGGTTTGGCGGCACGGCATCTTTGTTTCCAGGTGGAACGTAAAAGAATGCGACACGCACGTCTCCCGGAAATCCTGTATAATTCAACCAATCCCATGACGACTTCGAAACTCCTGAAGTGTTTCCACTTTTGTGTCCCATATGCAACAGACGTTTAGCCAACGGTCCGTGGGCGTGACATCTGAGGCTGAGACTAATCTTGATATGATGATTGTTTTGATGCTAGCGTTGAAAAGACTGCAACGAATTGCAGGTTGGTTATACTATTTTTTCTTCTATAAAAGCACAATGACATGTAGGATGGCTAATGAGTTTTATTATGTATAAGCTAGCTTGAATAGAACTAGCATAACAATAGCAGACTGCAATAACCACCATATGGACAACTTAAATTTTTGTATATATATTTCACACATAAACCTGGTTACAGCAGTTTGGGCCGTTTTCTGTGCTTTCCTCCACTTCCATTTCAAACATCCATGAGGTGTCATGAACTACCCATGTTTCAGTAAAAGATGCCAGACATTCTGAATCATTGATATTTTATTATGTTTCTCCTCAGAGGGTCAGTCTGGTAGCTGAGCCCATCTCTTACAGGAATGAGAAGTGTTTTCCCCTAACATCTCTTCTCTCACACATCTACCCACAACACATACACACCTTAGTAATCTATCACAAACCGATTAATGTGATGCGTATATGACCACCCTGTGCGACAATTACACATGATTATGGTGATCCACTCACATGAACATCTAGTGTTTTTTTACAGTTAGTGTGGCATGGACATCACAATTAGTTTGGCATGGCATCACGGGAACTAGGAGAGCAGGATTTGAGCAGGCAGGAACCTGTGCGCTCTGGACTGTCTCTCTCTCTCCAGGCAGATCAGCAAGCACTAGTGACATTCACAACGACAACTGCAAAACAGCCACAAGTTACAGGCGATATCAGGCAGTGGAAGTCACAGGTCAGATGTGTGAGAGATACGCTGACATTTCTCCGTTTACCTGCTCTGTCTCACTGGTAGAATTTGATCTCGGCGTCCACGCAGTCGAAGAACAGATCCCCGAGTTCCTGGCCCTGTATCTCCCCCCTTAGCATGGCCTCGATCTCCTCAAGACACTGAGACTCCAGGTATCTCATAGTCTCCTGTAGAGAGACTCCAGCATCCTGACACACACAAACACACAGGGAATATTGCAGATTCAGTGTAAGTTTTGCTCAGTGAGCGCAGTTGTGGCATAATATTTGATGATTACAAAAATAATGTCCACTTGTTTGGCCTTTTTAGGAAGAATATGGGTTACAGCAAGGCACTTACAATAGAAGTGAATATAGTTCAACTATTGCTGTTAAAATACTCACTGTTTCAATAATATAGTCACAAGACAATCAATACACGTTAACAAAATCCCTTCTAGCATCTGTTATATCTAGTTATATCCAATTTTACAACTTTGTTGCTATGAAAACAATCTGCCATAACCAATAAAACCCTAAAAATAATTTAAAGTTTTTACTTTTATAAAATTAAAATCTAAAAAAGGGCCCCAAACCACTTCCATTTTAAGTACATCACACTTAAACATTTATTTATCTGTTTGTTTATTTATTTTATTTTAAGAAATTGAAGGACTATTTTTCTTCTTGGTAATTAACATTATGCCACAATTAATGCTGCTGACTGAGCTTAACTTGTATTGAATTGAATCCAGAATATTCCTTTAAACACCTGTAAAGCCTGACATTAAATAATGGTCTGAAAAATCAGATTTTTTTTTTTAATGAATTAGTAAAAAATTGGTGCAGTTATAACTGTATAACAAAATTCTGATTGTAAATCAAATCTGTCTTTATAACAGTATAGCAGACTACTTATATAAAATCAGTCACTCTGTATCTCCATAATAATATATGTCTTAAGATATGATAATTAAGTAATTATGACATTTAAATGCTTGAATTTTATGATCAAAGCTCTGTAGTTTTTATTGTGGGGGAAAACATATAATGCAATGCAATACAATGATAATTGACAGATGTACAAATAAATGTTCCTTAAAATTCTGATACATCGTATTTTATTCTCACATTTAACATTTTTTACTAAAAATGGGCTTAAATCAAGTTGCTTAATTCCATCTTTTTTGATCATGTTGGTAATTTAGAGGCTTTAGAAATGTGTGTATCAAATGTGATACAATATGCTTTATAATTAATGTTCAAAAGCTTAAGAAAACAAACCAAAAAGTATTTTAGCAATAAAAAGCCTTTGTTCTCCATTTTCTCAGACTTACAGGACTGGTCAGTGCCGTCTGGTGGGCTTTGTACAGCTCGTGTTTGCGGTCCACCTGGTGCTGGAATCGAGGCTGTGTCCTAACAGGATCGCCTGGGCCGTACTGAGGAGACATCACCATGTTGACGGACCTCACACTCTCGGAGAAGATAAAAGGCTTGAATACAGACCTGCAAGAGAAGGATCAAAGTGTGACGAGTGGGCCCTGGCAATGTAGGTTTGAGCGGCTCTTTCAGGGTCACACCTGGAGGGGTCGGGTGTGGCAGTGAAGAAGTGAACGCAGGGCATGTCTGGGTTGCGCGGGAGGATGGACACCATGCTGCCTGTAGTACAGAAGCCCTCCGAATCCATACAGATCCCGCTGGCCTTGTCCCTCAGGATGCTCATCATCACCTCAGCCGTCACCGAGCCTGTGGAGAGGGAAAAAAAACTGTGTTGGCAGGTACATATGACAGTTAATTTTACATAGACAATTTTAAAAGACCTTCTTCAGACATTACAACAACATATGATCAAATGTCATATTTCAGGTATAAACTGGCATAGCAGGTGTGTTATATTTCAAATAGGCTAGCATAGATAACCATTCAAAAGCATGTTTTTGATACAAGTCCCTTATGCTTATCAAGGCTGCATTTATTTGATCACAGTAATATATTAAAATGTCATTTATTCCTGTGATGGTAAAGCTGAATTTTCAGCATCATTACTCCAGTCTTCAGTGTCACATGATCCTTCTAATCATTATAATGTGCTGATTTGCTGCTCAAGAAACATTTATTGGTATTATAAATGCTGAAAACAGTTGTTGTGCTGCCTAATATTTCTGTGGAAATCATGATACATTTTCTTTCATTATTCACTAATATTTAGAAAGTTCAAAAGAGCACCATTTATTACAAATCTTTTTAACAGTTTAAATGTCTTTACTGTCACTTCTGATCAATTTAATGCATCCTTGATGGAAAAAAAGTATTTAAAAAAAAATAAAAATCTTACTGACCCCAAACTATTGGTAGTGAAGATTATATGATGACAAACGAACCTCTAAAACCGGCAAGTCAGAGTAACATCTGCAATTGTGCAATTATGTATTTCATAAAAAAATTGTTTAAAAAGGCATGCGTTGCATACCCCAAAAGAAAAATAACATTCTATTAATTTTAATAATAAAACAAAAATAAATAGCATATTTGTATTCTATAAAAAATATATAAGGTATACATTAATGTATTGTAATAATTATAATATAAATATATTATAATCCAAAAAAAATCTATTGAAAAAAAAAATCATTGCTAGTAGTGATATTTTGAGCTACTGGAAAAACTAAATCGTTATCTCAAACAGAACTAGTTACATGGCAATTCAAGTTACATGATTCAATATAAGCACTACATAGTTACATTCACCACATTCAATTTATAAAATACACAGTATTCTTATTACAGCAAATTATTAGAAACTGAAAATGACAAATATTTTAAGTAAATCATAATGTCATAATAAAAACGTTTTAGTTGTCCATGCTTTTACTAATAATTACTTTAAAAAAAGCAATAACTGTAAGTGCAGTGTCTAAACAGTATATGGCAGTATTCAACATTTTAATAAATCCACTCTTCAAAAGAACAACACTCTGGATAGCAAGAGTAAGAATATAACTCTGCATCTTACTGCAACCAAAACACATTTCAGAAACCTAAATATAACATTGAAGTTCCCTGTTGTAAACAGAACCCCACTCCTCAGTCATGATGGCAGAGTAAAGCAAACGTACCGTTGTGCTGCTGGAGGAGGGCTGTGCCGCCCATGTAGCGCTGCTTGGCCATTTCCATCCTGGCGGGGGGGTTGTCAGGGCTGAAGACAGCAGAGAAGCTGAAGTCCCCCTCTCCACTCCACCAGCCCTGAGCCTGAGCCACAGCGCGCAGCTCCGGATGCTCTGCACAGATCTCTGTGCCTATCGTAAGCTGGTTAGAGATGTTCTTGACTCCCTCTGACAAAAGAAAGAACCTCCGCTTTATTTTAAAAGAAGGATTTTTTTAGATACAAGACTGTTATATCAATACATTAGATGTGTTATCTTGATACAGCTATTGTACATAGATATATAACTACAAATATTTCTGATTTTGACAATTTAAAAACACAGTAGGATTGCTAAGCGAATATATTAGTACATGTATATAAATAATTAATTTATATTATAATATTACACATTTATTAACACACACACACACATATATATATATATATATATATATATATATATATATACAGTGGGTACGGAAAGAATTCAGA